TGGGAGGACTAGATAATGGAGAAAAGTCATTCTTGTTTCATAAGAAATATATAGGTACATAACCAAGTAATTAAGGTTCCATTAAGATTTATAAATGGCAATTAACAAAGTCAAATATTTCAAGTGTGTTATATATAATACAATTATCTATGTTATATAGAAAGATAAAGATGTATATGATTATATAAAATATAAATTATATTAAAAATCAACATGTAGTAAAATATATGCAAATATATGTATATAAATTTTGTGGGGGAAAAATAGTCTGTGGGAAGATATGGAAACACATTTGTAAGGAAAGCCTGAAATAACACAGATGCCTCTTCCAAGGCTGTGTGGTCATCTTCTCCGTGAGTGCCCAACACGAGATTCACCAGAAACTGGATAATGTCTAGAGACACCTTGATTTGCACCTAAAACAAAAAGAGCCATTTTACCAAAGCCCTTGGGAGAGATGGGTGTCCTAGAGTCTAGAACTGCTTAAGCAGCTTAAGCTAGAAAGGAGAGCAAAGAACCTTAAAAGACTTAACCATATGCTGGTTTCAACTATAAAAGACAACCAGCATCAACCAAACATGATGGCAATTAATATATCGGACAAAATAATAGCTAATATTCCTAGAGTGTTTACTATTTGCCAGGCCCTGTAATGACCACTTTACTCTTTAATAGGCACAACAACTCAGCGGGGCTAGAACTATTATCATCCCTGTTCCACCAGTGAGAAAACTGAGAAACAGAAAAATGAAGCCACTTGTAGATGAGGACATTGCACAATGAATCAGTGTCAGGGCCAAAAATAAAACCAGGGTCAGTTGCTCTGCTCTGAAGTATACCGTCGTCTCTTCCAGACATCTGATCAGAATAAAAGATTACATGATATCATAGAATCATCAGGATGGTGCTGAAGATGAACAAACTGAAATGTCTGAAAGTTTTTAAGAAATTCAAAGGCTATATGAATTACAAAGTATGATGCTAGAGATGCCAACCAAATATTGCTTTTCTGAGGGGTGGGCCATTTTTTTATTTCATTTTCAGAAATTTCCAGTTGATACTTTTTATCACTACAAATGATAGCTATAAAGGAAGGCTACATGAAATGCATGTGAGTCCTTGTCTTTAATAAATTCAGTTTACGATCAAGCCACAAGACAAAATAAGTTTATCCCCAGGGGATCTCTCAACTCAGTGCAGATTATAGAAGTTGCAGTTTTGTATCCAAACAGGTGAAATGTTTTTACCACTGACCTTCAGATCATCCTCACTTACCTGAATTTCTGAATTTCAGACAGAAATTAAGCAAGGATGTGATGTATACTCTATTTACTTATTTATATATTTCAAAGCTAAATTTTTCAGAAATGCAAACACTATCTTTGTTTGTTTGTTGAGACAGGGTCTCACCTGTTGTGGACTGCATTGGAGTGCAGTGGTTCAATCATGGCTCACTGAACCCTCGACCTCCTGGGCTCGAGTGATCCTCCCACTTTAGCCACCCAAGTAGCTGGGACTACAGGCTTGTGCTACCATGCTTAGCTAATTAAAAAAAAAAAAAAAAATGTAGGGTCTTACTATATTGCCCAGTCTGGTCTTGAACTTCTGGGCCCAGCCAATCCTCCTGCCTTGCCCTCCCAAATTGCTGGGATTACAGGCAAGAGCCATCATGCTGAACTGACACTATCTTTAAACCATAAGCTATATATACATATTAAAAAGAGCAGTAGAAGGTACAGTTTGTTTAAATAAGAACATTTTCCAAAGGTCTACTTCTTGAAAAACTGAACAGTACAAATGCTGTGAGAATGTAACTCGCACTTTCTAAATTCAGCTTAATCATATCAACGTATCTTCCAAATCTATGAGTTCACTGTTAAATGTTAATTACATTTTAAATTCATAAATGTATAAATTAACCTTGTTAAAATTACTTTCAAAACCCCATTGTTTAATAATTCACTTTTGTTACAGAAGTTTAAAAATTCAAATCAGATCACTGAAGGTGATTCTTCCAATTTCCCAATTATTAAAATTTCTGACTTCAAATATCTAACAAAATAAGTGAGTACCAACCAACACATTGGTGAATAAGATAGCTCTGTTATTTTGCAGCTTACATTCTATTGGGTGAAACAGACAATAAAAATAATAAAACATATTAAAGAGCAACAAGTGAAAAAAATAGAGTAGAAATAGGGGATAGCTAGGGACTACTATGTGATTTAGCTGGGAGGGTCACAATTTTAAATCAAGCAGAAAGCACACCGATTCCCCCTATTCTAAGGCAGAGCAGTCCAGTAAACTTCAGTTTTTACAAAATTAAACTATGATTTATGACTCTTAAGTATTAATATTTCTTCTTTTTTT